TGTTAGAATGAGTTATTATAACATAGCAACTGCATCAAAGAAGGGATATTTGTCATTTGTAGTATGAAATGCAGCTTTTGGACTTCTGCACCACTTTTTTATTTTACTATACATTTTCAGTTTGTCACCTGCAGCTGTTTCTTCTCAGCTCACTCATTCACAATTTATATGGTGTTTGAAAACAGACATGATTGTGTTCTTCGACAAAAGCAGTAAGAGTTGAATTACCTGATGAAAGATAGTTGTGTGGTGTTTTTTTTCAATTCAATTCAATTCAATTTTATTTGTATAGCGCATATTTACAAAAAGTCATCTCATAGCGCTTAACAAAGGCAGAGAGAGAGGTTTGAACTCTGCAGTAGTTTTTCTTAAATATAAAAAAGTTGACCTTTTACTTCTTTTGCAAGATATAGCAAAACCAGTGTGTAGTTTTATGTGTGAGTAAATGAAGTAGAAAATATTGACTGAAAAATTGTACTCGCTGCGACAAACTGTCTGCTCTCCCCTTCCCCGCCACAGACTTCAGCCAGCAGGTGAGTGATCAGCTAACTAGCAGACCAGCTGCACCGGGGCCTTTAAAAGCAGACACTCTTTCAGTGCAGCAGGAAGCAGCTCAACACTCTGCTCTGGGAGAGTCTGCCACTACTTTTTGAATTCTCAGGACTTTTCACCTCACAGATGTAGCTGGTAAGGGTAAAAGACTGATGGTCCCAAAATCCTGACTTGTTACTGTCCACTGACGGGGCCTTTACTGTCTGGGTCCCGCTACCTGAGGACCTAAAGTAGGCAAAGTCAGTGTTCTTGCTCTTTGTTCTTGTTGTTCTCCTTGATAAATTTGCTGGACAAATTCTGCCTTTTTTTCCAACTGCAATAGATTAAAATGTACAATCCAGCAAAGTGTTTCTTATATTTTTACGAGGTCATGAGTCATAGCAGTTTTCAACTACAATTGCGAGGGCAGAGCAGGAGGACACAGGATGCTGCTCCCTGTACTGGGATGTGACGGCAAGAATGCTGCTTTAACATCACACAGCGTAGAGGAGAGTAAAGATTCACATTTTTACAAACTGCACAAGTTCCCATCACAAGAGAACTTTAAATGGTTGTTTATTTTAAGAGTTGGTCAAGTGCGGCTTAAAAAATGAAATTTGGGTTAAAAAGTCAACATTTGGCTTAAATAACATTTGATTTTAAGCTCTTCTCAAATTATTGACTGCCAAGTCATATAAAATATCAGAAACACATTTCAGTAGTAGGGTAACCACAACTTTAATGTTGTGAATGGTGTTTACCTATATGTACCTGTGTAACTGCTGATTCCAGGATGTCCATATGACAAAATATCACATTATCACGATGCTCCACCAATGGGTGAATTTTATGGGTAGACATAGATGCATCATTGAATTCTGACAACCAGCCTATTTTTTTGTTATTTATTTATTTTTTTAAATGATGAACAGTTATAAGAGGAAAACCCCTTCTATATGTAATGATGACCTTGAAGGAATCCTTTAAAATATTGGGAAATGTGCTTTCCCAAAATTTACTGAAGTCTGTGTTAAATATAGAGCTGAACTCGGCATAGTTCCTGATCTGGCTTACCATTAAGACAGGAAGCAGCAGGAAAAGGATAGAATGACGAAAAGGAAAAAAAAAAGAAAAAAAAAACGGCCTACCAACACTAACTAGTTAAATCATTGAGGCATATTTTGTTTGTTTATTCAGTGCACATAAAATAAACAGAAAAGTTGTTGGGGGAAGTTGTTGGTATGCATATGTTTTATTACAGCAAGTCTAGCTGTTTCCCTCAGCTTCCAGTCTTTATGCTAAGCTAGGCTAATCCTACCATAGCTCCAGCACCATCAACACACAGCTTGAAGGTTCCTAAGTGAGTGATTTGACCCAGAATTATTTAAGTAGAATTCATAAAAGCCGGTTGAATTCTTTAAATGCTATAGAAAAGTGCTTCAGTGCTTTCTTTCTTATCTCCTTTGGGACACACTGGTCCATCCTTACAAAACAAAAGAAGATAATGCCATCCCACAATTCCTTGGACAGCAATATTCAGAGTAATGCACTCTAAATCTAAAGCAAATGCACATCAACAAATCCACAATTGCATGGTTATGTTACATGGTGTAAGTGCATGTGGATTTTCTTGAAACTGTGGTTGTCTTTTGCTTTGTCCTCATGATCTGTCCTTTACAGCTTTCCTTGACCTTGTGACATTTTCCATCAAGGGAAAGTGTTTAGGAGAAGTCATAGGAAGAAATGTTTTGACTGTTTGACCACAACCACAGACTGATGCTAATCTTCTCATCTCACTCTTCTAAAGAAAGCATGTGTGAATTTCTCAAAATGTTGAACTATTCCTTTAGTAAAGTCTTCATTCTGCTTCATTTGGACTTGTCGTTGTAGGAAAAGTACACGTCTGCCTGATCAAATGAACAATGGCTCTGTTATATCAAATGTCCTGGTTACTCATGGCACCACAACAGTAGCGAGCATGAACTCCTTCATCACCCTGAAACTGAAGCAGCTAAATGGAATACAGCCATCATTTATTATTTACACCTGTGGCTTCCTCACTGTGACCTGTCAACATGTCTGCTGTGAGAAACGAGTGTGACACTACCTGACAATGCAAATACAATGAATGCATTCGGCTCAGTAACTGCATACTGTTAAGGTCCATGTCATTCATACTCAGTCTGAAAAAATGTCTTTGTAGTGAATAAAAATGCAGATGGTACGTACCTGACAGAATAAAATAAAAAATCACATGAGGTGAAGGATTTGTGCAAAACGTCATTGATCTATGTTTTTCAAAGATGAAGCTGATTACAGGTATCCACCTCTTTGTCCTGACTTAGTGTGTTGCTCAACATTGTAGCAGGATGTTTGCTGACAGAAGCACAAAACCAGGTCAAGCTGAAGCATAAACTCTCTTAAACACATAACAAGCAGGATATGTAAAGCAGAGCAACTATCCATCCATCCATTATCTATACACCACTTAATCCTCACTAGGGTCATGGGGGGCTGGAGTCTATCCCAGCTGACTTAGGGTGAAGGCAGGGGACACCCTGGACAGGTCACCAGTCTATCACAGGGCTACACTTAGAGACAGACAACCAAGCACACTCACATTCACACCTACGGACAATTTAGAATCATCAATTAACCTCAACATGTTTTTGGTCTGTGGGAGGAAGCTGGAGAACCCGGAGAGAACCCATGCTGCATGGGGAGAACATGTAAACTCCACGCAGAAAGAGCCCAGGTGTCCTCACCGGGACGCGAACCGGGGACCTTCTAGCTGTGAGGCGACGGTACTAACCACTGAGCCACCTTGATACCCAGTTGAAGAGCAACTACTGATTTTATTTTATTTTTTTAATTAAAACTATCTATTACCTCTCTCTCTTAATTCTGTCTCAAAAAGTTTTTTAAAAATCTTGTCACTATTTACGTGTCCAGTGTGAAGTCTTTAAATGTCTTGTTCTGTCTAATTGATATTCAACTTCCATGGTATTCAATTCACAATCATACAAAGCAAAACAAAGCTACAATTCTTCATATTAACTAACAGTAAATTCATGACTAAATATAATTTATTGATTACTAAAACTGATGTCAAATTTTCCAATGTTGTTTCCACTAATCAATTAATCAGCTAGTTGTTTCAGCACTAGCACATGCAGTGTAGTACAATATTTATGTATTTGTGCTTTACTTGTGAATTTTAATTTTATTATACTTTTACCTTTGTTCATTTCAGAGAGAAATATTGTACTTTATACTCCACTAGCTTAATGTGTTGGTGTTACTTATTAGTTCCTTGCTACTTTCAGACTTTACACATAAAACCTATCATCAATGTATGGCGTATTATTGAAAATAAATCTCCACAGCATAGCGACCGCACATTTACCATATTACAATGCTACTTACACAATAATGCATCAGTAAGAATAATCCAGTAACACAATCGAACAGTGTACCCCTCACAGGAACAAAATTCCTGCATAATTAGTCCTCTCAATTTTAATAACTTAATATACATTTTACTGTAAACACCTATGCACCTGTAGTTAAACCCTGTAGTGTGAGGGTGCTACTTTTGAAAAAAGAAAAAGACATTTTTACTTTATCTCCCCTGGCACTGTCATTATTGTAAAGTTATTATCAACACTTGCATATTAAGATTAACAATTAACTGATGTAATAAAACTTCTCTCACCAGTCTGCCACTTCTTAATCACATTCTACCCACACATAGTGACTTCAGGATAATCCCATGAAATAAATTACAAGAGTTTTAGCAGGAAACCCAGACAAACAGCGTACTCCATCCTAACTGACTTTGTGTTCAAGGGTCGATTCACCCAAAGTACAAAAAATGTGCACATTTATTCTGTCCAATAGTTGTGTATTGCTATAAAAAACTTTTTTGTATTTGTGCAAATATTATATCTGTCCATGACACATCTGCCTCAATACCAATACAATGATCAACATTATTTAAAGTTTTTGGGGGGGAATTTTCCAATGAAGCACACAAAGTTTAAAAAAATATATATTAATGGCGAATGCATCCCCTATAAATCATTACTAGGAACGGTTGGTGAGTCTACATAAGGTTCTCAAGATGTTTCAAAACCTATCAATGTGTTTTTTTCTAGGTTTTAATCTACAATGCATTATTTTTAAACCACTAATACCCATTTGTTACATCATAAAAACCCTTACAGGGGACTTTCTAATTTCCCTTTAATGGCATTTTTCAATGCTATAAATATCACAAAGCTCATTAACTTCATTATACTGATGTGAAAGGAAGAAATCTCACAGACAGACAACTCCAAACTGGGACAAATATAACTGAACTATCATCACAGACAGACACCACTAAAGGTAACACAGAAAATGTGTCAAGTGAATAGATCTTTCGACTAAGTTTGGTCTTTCGAAGCACATTAACCCCAAACAGCATATCAGAAACAACGTTTTTAATAGTTGAAATAAATACTCCATTACATGCATGGTCAAAACACTTGAAAATACTATGGAAAGTCTGGTAAATAGTGTAAAACCTATGGCACACACTCACAGCAGCTTTTTACGAATTAAGAATTCACACATGCTGAAAAAATACAAGCACTGAGACACTCTGATAACTCTTTCCAATCTAACAAAGCACATCTAATCGAGCAGGTCAGCCAACCATAGGTTCACACAGCAAGGCTACATCCATCATCAAGGCTGGTGTTTTCACCGGAGCTAAAAACTGAGGTAAACTTTTCAGGTTTGAAGGCTGCTGTCTGGTGGTGAGAGTGGGCTGTCAGCTGAGCTCAGATCAGGCTCAGAGTGGTCAAGTGGTCCATTTCTCACAAGGGTCGAGTCACATCCAGCGCAACACAAAACCCTGCAGTGGTTGTTTTACGCTCCTCTGCATTCAAATACACTTCAACCACGAGAACAGACCCACTCACAGCCATTTTCTGGTGTTACTCTGACTATAAAGCTTGATTTATACTTCTGCATTGAACATACACAGCAGGTAGACCACAGGTAGGGTGTAGCTGCTTCGCCTGCGCCTACACCATAGCCTGACATGCACTACCCCAGAAATGTAACAACAGTGATTGGCCCGTTCAGAAGAAACATATTGTGTTTACATCGCGTATTAATTGCAAGATGTTTCCGTGAAACAAAATGTAATGTGTTATAGGGTGTAATAGTATCTGGCTCACTCAAAGTACAAATGCCATAGCCATTATTATGCCAATGTGGCCATATGCTGTTTTCTAGTTTCCATGGTTCAACTAAACCATGTACAGACTCTTTCGCTTACACCATCAACTCTCTTTTATATGTGCAATAACTTCAGTAAAAAAAAAATGTTGTTCAATGTTTACTGACTCCAACTTCAACATGATCCGCTAAGTTTGAAGAAAAGAAACTCAACACAGTGACACAGACATCCCACTGCTAACTAGCATTTTCATGGTGTAACTGCATCGTGATGCAGATACACCAGCGCACAAGTATAAATGCCCACAGCAGCAGAGGCCACTTCCACAGGCTCTGAGTAGATTCTACACAGAAGTATAAATCAAGCTTATACCTGATGAACAGGGATAACCCAAGTGAGTCTCTTTGGTACATCACAAAACGCAAAGGGGACTGGAGACCATGTTGCCTCTTCCTAAACTAATTCACAGAATGTGAGTTGACTGGCGGCAGAGTCCTCGGAGAGGAGCGTTCTCTGAGTGCCTGAGTGAGCAGAGTGCAGCCATCCGACACAGCACATGCTGAGTTACGTAGACGCTCCCGGTAGTCTGCCATTTTGGAGCTGCTCTCAGGATGCTGGGCAACATCCCTGAGGCCCTGAGTGAGTAGGACACAGGCAGAAACCACACTCATGGCTCCTCCTAACACTGCAGTCTGTACCCCCTTCCCTTCAGCTGAGATACTCGCAGCTCTTCCCAGGAACTGTGGCTCTGTAGCAAAGCCGACCAGGGCACTGACAGCCTGGACCAGAGCGGCACTAAAGAGAACACATCGGTTTCTGGTCAGTTCACTAGGCTGGGTTTTCACCTCTTTGACACACGCCAGGAAGGCTGTGCCACTGGTGCTCATGCTCTTGACACTCAATTTGAACTGCTCTTTTGCAAAACGGTCCCTGGACCTCTCGCTGGCCAGCGACGAGATGTCCGTCAGAGTCTTGAGGTTGGTGGAGATGTTCTGAGAGAGCTCAAGAAGGAGCTGGGGGGTGAGATCTGGCAGGGGTGTGACTCGGAGGATGCTGCAGCTCTGCTCCACTTCGTGTCGGCAGCGGGTCACCTTGTAGCGGTCCACAAGACCAGACAGACAGGCCTGAGAGCCGGGGGTCTCCACGGCTGCCAGGTAAGCAGCATGAGCCGAGCACTCAGTCAAAGACACCACCAGGTCGGCCATCTCCAGGAGGCGGTCCCCCACCTCTGTGAAGCGTCCCATGTTGAGCTGGCTCTGGATGTCATGTGTGAGAATGGAGAGCTCTTTAGTCCTGGCGATGACTGTGTCGCGGCACTGGTCAAAGGTGTCGGCCACCGCCACGCCTTCAGATGTCATGACTGGCCTGGTCTCACTGGAAAGCAGCAGGAGGTCAGCCACCAGCTGCATTTTGCCCTTACATGTGTCACAGACGGAGGAGAGCCGCTTCCTCTGCTGCAAACTGCCGCTGGGTATGCTGGTTGATCCCTCACTAGCTGATTTGCCAGAGCCACCACTAGCCATAATAATGAGGGGAGTCAGGGGGAGAGGGTCAAACTGTTCTTCTGGAGGGGTTCAGTTATTTATAGTTTTCTGCTGTTGCACACTGCATTGTTTGAGACATTTCCACAACAAGCCTCAACTCACTGCTCTCTACAAACTATATTAAATAACAACTGGCCAAACAGTCTTCCTTAAATTCCTTCAGAGTATAGGTAATCAACTGTGCATCACATGTTAACACACAGGACATGCATTCTCAATGTAAACATGTGGATAGAGCAAAGCTCAGTTACTGCATTTACTTACAACACCCCCATTGTTAATTAATGTGTCCCTAAAGAATATTATATTAAAAGTCTAGACTGTGACCTGGCATATTCCCAGAGTTATCGGCCTTGGTTGTTAGTAATTTTACAATGTTACACATATCATTACTTCTTAGTAATCAGTGTAATAAGCTATATGCTCTTATGAAGATTAATTTAAATGCCCTGAACAACATAAACAACAGGTCAATATGCTAACTGTAGTCCCAGGTTTCCGTGGAACAGAAGAATTCACAGGTTGCTGAATTTAAAACGAACTCACACACAAACTGCAGTGCCACCAAGGTGCCTTCAAAAGGGCAAAGTGCAGATTGAGAATTATAAAAATAATGTCACAACATATTCCCAATTGGAATTCCCTCTGCTCAACAGCCTCTGTTCTACTTTAAAAACTTTAGATGTCTTTACTTTGGGTCTTTTTTTTATGACTTTCGCCAAAAAAACATCACCTCAACAATAAGTGGATGTTGTTTTAAGTCTCTTGTGACCATATTCAACAGGATATCATTTTGTGTCCACTCGCGTCAGAGCCAGTACCCTGTAACAGCACCGAGATCTTGTCCGGCTTTGACCCAATGAGTCTGACCTGCCTGGCATACTCATACTGGTTAGAGACGGGGCAGCTCCCGGGCAGCTCTTCTGGACAGCGGGAAGACTTGTGTTTCCCTCCAGCACCATCATTTCATGAGTCCTCCCAAGTAAAATCCACCGAAAAGGTGACTGTCCACCAACACAAACCCCTCAGTCCACTTTCAATCTCTTCTTCTTCAAACACAGCCCTGGGTTAGAAGCTAGCAGTTGCTCTGGTCGCTTCGACTCCATATGCATCGTCCGTCAGTCCGCCCTCCACCTCTTCCCCCGCGTCTTAACTCGGGACCCGACAGTGCGTAGCCCCGCATGTCCTCTGTGAGGACTCGTTCCTCACTTCCATGCCAGCCGCCGGTCTCGGAACATACAGCTCAATTGTTTTTGGCAGATTCCACGACCAGGAAACCGTAAACAAGAGCTGGCCGTTATTCCCAGAGATTCAAAGTCGTGCTGCGCGTTCCCGCTGCAGTACTATGAGGAAGCAGGGAGGGTGTGGTCGCGGCTGAACGGCTGCTGGACTGAGCAAAGTTGTAGCAACGGAACAACACACGTAGTCCTCCGGCTTAAAGTTAACTTTCCACCATGTCTGTGAACAGGTCGTTGTCTTTCTTTAGCGAAGTCCCGAGGAACCCTGTTGTTGTACGGTAGCCAAAGAACTACGCGGAGTTTCAGGCTGCTGTTAGTATGAGGACGAGCTGCTGCTCCACCATCACATCCCTCAGCTGCCGAGGCCGGAAGCTGCTGTGTTCACAAATAAAAGCACGGCTTTTACCGAGCAGCTGGCGGTCAAGACCACCAAGGCCCCTGAGGGCCCGAGGCCATGTCCTCGGTGGGCTTCTGAGAACCTGGAGGAGAGTTTGAATGAACAATTTATGGTTTACCCTGTCGGTACTTCTTAAGCTGAGTCTGGGGATGTTGGGGTGATGTAATAGCACACAAAGGTATTCATCTAACAGACATATATATACATATAGTCACATATTTTATTCCATATTTTTATAGATGGATAGATCATCACATATAATAAAAAACCATACTAAATACAATACTCAAAAAGACAAAATAATTCAGTTGAAACAGTATATACACATGGGTACTGGTATATTAATACAACAACTTCACATGCCTAATATATAAGTACATAAGGGGTGCTACTAATCACTTATCAATAAGTGATTAATAGCATCTTATGTATCACATATCAACTTCATATTAACACATAATATCATATTAATAGCATATAAATACATATATACTTTTTTTCATGTGATTCAAAGTAGTTGGAATCATTTTACATCAAAGATCTAAGTTTGAAAATATTTAAGATCATTTGGCCTTGGCACACTGACTCAGAAGCTCAGCGATCTAAGAACTGTGGCCATAGCTCTGCTTGCAATTAGAGTTTAAGTTAGCTCATGTGCCATACTGTTGTTTGTTTATATATATATGTACTACATTCCCTAAAATCTTTTGCTGCAGTAACAGTGCAAATTTCCCCACTGTCCAATTAATAAAGGCTTATCTCATCTTGTCTTATCTCCCACAAATACATCTTTACACACTCTTTTAGTTTGCTTTGATGACGTTTCCAAAATGTTCTCTACAATTCTTCTACAAAAGCAAGCAAACAAACACAAAAGTCTTGCAATCATAATTATGCATAGGTAAAACTAATAAAGTATTGGCAGCAAGCAAACAACTCATATGCAGTGGGGCCCTTTTCAAAAGTTGCGCTATGTTATGTTAGAAATAATGACACAGTAAGTGATTGTCACTGACACATTAGAGAGATGAGGACCCAACTGCTGAAGATGGTTCAGATGTTGTAATCTCTCTGGAACTTTATTTTATACCAAAGAATCTTAATTTTGAAGGTGCATATAACCTCTTAATCTGCAAAATAACTTTTAACAATTGGTGTTAAATCATTGTAGGGGGCCAAGAAGTAACATCGATACATCTAAAATACATTGGAAAGGTATCAAAAAATGCAAGTAGTTAAGTAGAACAGAGTAGCCCACTAGATTGAGGCCACCTCTGGTAGCTTTATTTCTGAAAGTTGCAGGATGTTCAATTATTGTATTCTACTAACAATGGTGGTAAACTTCAGAGTGCTTTATGCTGCTACATACTGTTTTATACAGCTTTATCATGCATAACATTGTTTCATAGTGCTTTGCACTCCTTCGTACTGCTTCATGTTGCTTTACTGCATTCTACTTGGCAGAACTTTATCCTGCTTTATAGTGTTTTATGATGTTTCATACTTTGTCAGACTGCTTCATCCTGCATCATGCTGCTTTATAGTTCTTGATCATGGTTAATATTGATTCATAGTGCTTCATTGAGCTTCATACTACTTCAGACTGCTTCACAGTGCATCATTCTGCTACTTTATACTAATGGGTAACACTTTATGCTGCTTCATTCTGCTTTATCCTATTTCATTGCTATTAATTGTGCTTTATACTCCTTCACCATGTTCTTCATACTGCTTTATACTGTTTTATAAAGCTTCTTACTGCTTTATACTACTTCACACTGCTTCATTTTACTTCCTGCTGCTTCATATAGCTTGGCAGTGCTTCAAACGGCTTCATGGTACTTCACTGTGCTTCATTCTCCTTCATACTGCTTTCTCGTGCTTCGTACTGTTTCACATTGCTTGATTCTGCTGCAGGCTGCCTTATACTGCCTCATATGGGTTCAGACCTCTTCCTACTGCTTCATTCTGCTTCAGGGTGCTTCACACGGCTTCATAGTGTTTCAGTGCTTATTACTATTGCTCCATACTGCTTCATCCTGCATCATACTGCTTACTGCTTCTTCATTCTGCTTTCCAGTGTTTCATGCTGCCTCATTCTGCTTTATAACACTTCATACTGCTTCACACTGTCTAATTCTGCTTCACAGTGCTTTATTCGGCTTCATGCTGCTTCACACTCCTTTATCATGCTTCATATTGCTTCAGAGTACTTCATACTTCCTTATCATGCTTCATTCCACTGTTGTTTCAATATCCAAATACCATAACTTCAGTGACCTCAGGAAAATATATGAGGAGTCAGACTCAGAGTCTTAAATATGTACATTCGAGAACAAAAGTTTACATACACATGTAAAGACCAAGTTCGAAGCTGACTCACGGCTGATTCCGTTTTGATTCTAAATTGTCCGTAAGTGTGAATGTGAGTGTGCTTGGTTGTCTGTCTCTAAGTGTAGCCCTGCGATGGACTGGCGACCTGTCCAGGGTGTCCCCTGCCTTCTCCCTAAGTCAGCTGGGATAGGCTCCAGTCCCCCCTCGACCTTAATGAGGATTGAGCGGTGTATAGATAATGGATGGATGGATGTAAAGACCATGCATACCAGGGTAGTCAGGATTTTGGAGAGACCAGTCTAAAACCTTAATGCAAGCCTGATTTAGCCATTTCTTGATTTTTCTTTAGCATTTTTGATGTTTTTGGGGATCATTGTCTTGTTGGAACATTTAACTACATCCAAGACCCAACCTTCTGACTGGTTTTTTGGTGATTCTTGGTTGACTCTGGACCATTCTGACCAGCTTTCTCTCAGCAGCAGATGATAGTTTGTGTTTTCATACTCGTCATGGCAGTGACACAAGTGTGCCATGCATTTTTTACTTACAAATAACTGTTTGCACAGATCATTTTATGATCTGTAGCTACTTTGAAATAGCTCCATTAACTTTCCTTTCTCGCTCAAATCAGCAATTAGCTTCTTCAGATCTACACTCAGCTCCGTAGATTTTCCCACAGTAACGTTTGTTGCTGAGTCTGGTAAGTTTATCAAAAGGGAGCTATTTAAGTGGGATCCGAGAAGTCAGCAGCTGTAGTCAATTGTAATTACTCACAACAAGTCATGTCACAAAAAAATTTGATTAACACAACTGTCTACATCACCAAAACTGATCTTTAAATTTGTATGTATATTTTTGACTCAGCAGATTTAGTTCAACTTTCAAGAAGAACTATAAAAATCTATCTTTTTTGATAATGTATGATGGTTTTTTGTGACAAAGATGCATGTGTTTAAAAGATTCCATCATAAAAAAAAAAAAAAAAATCCTTTATAGGAGTCACCAAAAACTCAAGACTGCCATGATATACACTGTCTTTACAAGTGCAAGTAAACTTTTGTTCATGACTATAAAGAAGTGATCAAAGCTGCTACAAATTNTCACCCTGAGTCAGCTGGGATAGGCTCCAGCCCCCCCGCGACCCTAATGAGGATTGAGCGGTGTATAGATAATGGATGGATGGATATAAAGACCATGCATACCATAGTAGTCAGGATTTTGGAGACACCAGTCTAGAAGTCAGTAGATGTAGTCAATTGTAATTACTCACAACAAGTCATGTCACAAAAAAATGTGATTAACACAACTGCCTACATCATGAAAACTGATCTTTAAAGTTGTATGTATATTTTTGACTCAGCAGATTTAGTTCAACTTTCCAGAAGAACTATAAAAATCTATCTCTTTTGATAATGTATGATTGTTTTTTGTGACAAAGATGCATGTGTTTAAAAGATTCCATCATTAAAAAAAATCCTTTATAGGAGTCATCAAACACTGAAGACTGCCATGATATACACTGTCTTTACAAGTGCAAGTAAACTTTTGTTCATGACTATAAAGAAGTGATCAAAGCTGCTACAAATTTAGGAAATGTCCATCAGTGGATATGTACTTTCTTGTGCTATGTAAGCACCACTCAGTAAGTGCACTCAGCTATTTAAATTCTTTGTCAACTTCATTGAGGTAGTTCTGTAGTATTTTGTCGACTATACAGTAACAAAACAATACTTTTGTGATAAAAAAAAAATTCTATATGTGCTTTTTGTTCATGGCAGCTCTTTCTTACACTGTCACACATGCTTAGTGTTTGGGAAGTTTAACTGAAAAGCAGGTAATTAGTTAATTAATTAATTGTAAATGATCTGTACCACCTTAGTGGTACTTAAAGCATTTTACAATGTGTTTCTTATTCGCACACCAATAGCAACAGCGCTACCGTAGAAAGTCCTAGCCTGCCATTGGGAGCAACTTGGGGTTCTTTGATGTTCAGTGTCTTTCCCAAGGACACTGTGACACGTGGAGGACGAGGGAACTGAACTGCCAAGCTGAGCCACAGCCCCTCAACAGAAGAGAAAAAATTTTGTGTCTGTATGCTTCTAAAATGTTAAGTAGCTCTCAGAGTGTGCAACCATATTGACACTTCTTCTGAGTAAATTTCTCATTTCCAGTCCGATGTCAGGGCAGTGCTCTCCAACACATCTGCTGTGTGATTCCACAAAAAAATTGTCCCACCAGTCAGTGGCTTCTAATGTGCAAGGCAGCACCTGTAACTGTTGAAAATACTGAGGTTTGAGCTGTCGAATGCTTGAGCCAACCTATAGTATGGAGGGGATTTTACTGTTATGGTACTGGTAAGGCATCACTGCTTAGAATGTGCTTTTTGATCACATTTTAAAGGGCTATGTTTTACCAAATTAATGTCTACATGTCACTGGACAGTGGGACAATTGCTTCCTACTCCTAAACAATAATGATTATATTTTTCTAAAGTACTTGTAATATATTCTCAAATGACTGAAATATGCTGATAACACTGCTATAAACCACTGTATTTTTTGTATTCAACTAAACCATAATATAATACTTTTTTCTGTAATATTTTCAGAGTAAGTGTAAGAGTTGTTCCACAAAAAAGACAAGTTGCATTTGTTGTTTCGAGTTGTGAAAGAAGTAAATCCTTAATTTTAGAAGGAATACCACATGCAAGCATTTTCTTTAACAACTGCAAATACAGGAGTTTCTCAGCAACAATATACACATAATTCATGCAGGATTACCTTATTTTAGTTTATTTATATTTTTGTTCAACTGTAATTATTTTTAGCATTTGAAGAAAGCTGATAGAGGTGGAATTTTTGTGTGATTTTAAAGTAGGCTAAGATCCATGTACAACCATGGTTTTGCACTCTATAGTCAACACCCAAGTGTGTGATTTACAGATTGGACCCCCTCTCATTGAGGCATGGTAGTGATTTTTGTCTTACTCTCCTCTTAATTTGTTTCAGCTTTTGGGAAGGACAACTTCTGTTGTCATTAGTACATAAAATTTATAATTGCACAAAGGCAAAATACTTCAGTAAATTTACTTTGTTATCATTCATTACTGGCAATATGCACAGGGTCTGTATAGGCTGAAATAACAGATTTTTAAAATTTAAAAAAATATTTTTTTGCAAATAATGCCGCACATTTGCTGGTTCTTCCTTTGAAATGTGAAATCTTTTGCATTTCTATGTTTTATGTCACTGTAAACTACCTTTCATTAGGTTTCAGAGCATTGGTCTGCAGTGGAAAATAGATGTACAGATAAAAAGACCAATCTGTCTGTCAACCAACAAATGTTTTCTTTGAGTAACCTCAAAGCAGACTGAACACTAGTCTTTCAGTGCACTTTCTCAAAGTTTGCAACCTGTTTTACCTCAGTGTCCAACATCACTGATGTATGTGATTAGAGGTGTGCTGTGATGATAAAATTCATATCAGAATAATTTTGTAATAACCAACTAAATTATAATAGCAAACAAATTTTGTCACTAAATTAGATTTTTTTCCCAAAACATGATTTGTACCAAAAGATTTGTAACATCATTTTAAGTATTTATTTTTTGTACATAAAGAGTGAAGCTTTTATTCACACACTGAGTAAATGTGAGCACTGTTGTGCTGTCAGTGGAACTTGCAGCTGCACAAGGCACAGTGCCATTGGGTGGAGTCCTTCAGAGAGGAAACAGTTCTACCGTTGGTGTCAGCTGATCTCCCATGACCCTGTGAACTCTGCTGGCCTTCACACAATACAGCACAATGCACACTGTCAATATACAGCTACACAAATGTTTGTCAAGGGAAAATAATGTTTTTGTACACTTAAGTTTTATATAGATCCAATTCACAACAGGTCATTCCAGGGCACTGCATACAGTAAGGTGAAGGCCTTACAGTACTGGATACATCCTTAAGATGGATCCAGAAACGAATGATTCCCTTTAGAAACAGTGGAAAGACAGGAAGAAACCTCAAGCAGGACGGGGATCAGGTTGGGTGGTAATCTGCCTTAATGGCTGGGTTGAGCAGAGAGGGAGTGGAGAGGGCAGAGAGAAAGGCATAGCAACAAAAAACAATACTCACTAAATTAGCTCTGTCAGTCTACTACTGGATCAATGTAATTAGCAAATTCACACATCGAAAGTTTTTAATTTGTGCTTTTATTCTAATAAAATAAAAGTAGCTTAGCTCAGGAAGTGTTCACAAACATATCTTGTAAAATGCTTCGATCCATTCACAGTCAACGTCTAATATTTGTAATAATTCTGCGTTTATTTTGAAATTCTCGCCGACGCTCCGGCTGCAGCGCGTGCCGGCGCTCTGACACGCCCCTCCTGTCTTGTGACCGGCAGACTTCACAGCCAATCAGAACACACCATGTGTAAACATGGCGTCTGACTTGAGGTCAAGATGTGTGGTGCTTCTGTTCTACACATGTTTGCTGTGTATATTAGCGACTGACAGTAAAATTAAGCCCAAGGTAAAGAAGGACATCCGAGACTACAATGACGCAGATATGGCACGGCTCCTGGAACAATGGGAGGTACGGTAACTTGTTCCTGTTCATTCAGCCAGCCTTCAGATAGTAGCTACCGCCTAGCCGCTAGCTGTGTCATTAACCGTGCATCATCAGCAGCATGCCACTCTCCAGTGTCCATGGGAACAGCATATTAATAAACACAAGTGCCAGTTTTGTGCTAGGTGCTGTCCTAGGACAGACACATGCTGGAAGTTGTGTGGTAATAGTCTGGGACTGACGTTAAAATATACTATGCTGCTTTAAGGTACTGGAGTCATCCGTTCAAACATCTGTTTACAGTCAACACAAAGTGCACAGCTTACAAAGCACGAGTCTGGTGTGTCCTGATTTTGAGTACAATGTGTTGAAAATGTTCCATTAGTTAGGGGCAAAAAAAAGCTTGAACCCGCAACATATACTGTGAAAATTCCAAAGGTAAGAGTACAATTTAAGAGCAAATGACTCTTGTGACTGTTGTATTATTGATATTTTAGTGTTGGCTTTTTTCCCCCACAACTAATTCACAAATTTTAAATAGTGTGTTAGATGTACTTAAATGCAATTCAGTTTTATTTATATTGTGCCAACTGAAAACACATGTTATCATAGCACTTAACATAGTAAGGTAAAGAAGAGCTCACACAGTTTAAACAGATAACCCAACAAAGTTTCCTTTGGACTTAGAGCAAGCTCTGCAGAAGCCTGATAACGATCCTGATCATTTGGATCAGGTGTGTTGGAAGAGGGAAACATCTAAAACATGCAGGATTGCGGCCCTCGAGGACCAGGATTGGACACCCGAGGCCTAGGCCATCTTTATGTAGAGCAACAATTCTTTTTTTCAAATCCTCAGTGTTCTTTGCCATGAGGTGCCATGTTAAACTTCCGGTGACCAGTCCCCATTCACACCTGAGGTCTTTTAACACTAACGAGTCACATGACACTGGGGCGGGAAAATGGCTAATTGGGCCCAATTTGGACATTTTCACTTAGGGATGTATTCACTTTTGTTGCCAGCGGTTTACACATTAATGGCTGTGGACTGAGTTATTTTGAGGGGACAGTACATTTACACTGTTACACAAGCTACACACTGACTACTTTACATTGTAGCAAAGTGTCATTTCTTCACTGTTGTCCCATGAAAAGATAAAATATTTGCAGAAATGTACTCACTTTTGTGACATACTGTATGGGTTCTGTGTGGATTTTTTTTTTTCTATTCATGCAGATTTTTTTGTGTCATTTCTTGTGTTTTGGAATACTGAAGCATTCCACTTAACTTTCACATGTAACATACTGTAAGGTTTTACATTGCGTACAGTAAAGACATGCCATTGCTTTGTGGCTTTGCTGACTAATTATGCAGCAAGTTAAAGTTACTTCAAAGACCGTTGCCATATATATATATCGTAATATTGCCTGTTCTTAGTGCTTATTGAATAGAAAGTTTTCTTCATGGAAGTCAAATTCGGTCATGATGGGACACGTATGTAATGTTGGTTGTAGAAGTGCATTTGGATGTGCGATATATGCTATGCTGTGTTTTATAAAACTATTTTGAAAATGTGATATGAGTACTGAGAATTTGATGTAATCAACTGTGAAAAATGGTCACCTGCAGAAAAGTAACTTGTAAATATACAAATACAATAATTTTGTATTCACTTCCTTTTTTCTGAATAGCATGTGTTTGAAAAGTGACGTGGATTTATAGAATAGCAAAAGTGAAAGCCAGCCACTTTCACTGTTGAGCTGTGCCTCCTCATTTCATGGCCATCTTAAATTCTCATGAGTCGTACGTAATTTCTCCTCGTTGTTTTACAGGAGGATGATGACATTGAGGAAGGTGACCTTCCTGAGCACAAAAGGTCTTCTCCTCCCATTGATTTCTCCAAGGTGGACGCTTCCAAACCAGAGGAGCTTCTCAAGATGTCCAAGAAAGGCAGGACTCTGATGGTTTTTGCTTCAGTGACAGGAGATCCTACTGAAAAAGAGACAGAGGAGATCACAGGACTATGGCAGGGTAGCCTCTTCAATGCCAACTTTGATGTTCAGAGGTATTTACTTATCCAACATCCATAACAAGAGTTTTGTCCAGCTGCTTTCCAAGAAGATTTGCATATCAACTAGGCCTTCAATAGTGATTTTTGAAGTTCACGTCAGTTAGACTAGCCCATTAATTGGCTCTTTCCAATACAATGCTATTACTCATGAGAAGTGAAAGAGTTAATTTTGCATGAATAAAGCCTCATTAAACTTTCTGTGTCTGCTTATGCTGGGGAAAGATTTGAAGTTTTGTAGCATCAAAGGCTGTGAGCACAGGGACATCTAGTGGCCTGTAGAAATTATAGCAACTACTGAAAACTGGGACCAACACACTGCAGGTTCAGTTACAGAAACATTTGAGATCGCCATGTGTTCAGGGGGAAGGTCATGTGATCGTATGTTTTATTTTCTTTGATCTGGCCTAATTTTCTCATATATTTAACATAGTAACAATGAGTACTTTTTCTACAGCCCTTCAAAATGTTCATCTTTCAAAAATGTATTGTGAGAATCGAAGCAAACTAAAATCATCACGCGTCAGCCTCTTTTAGTTCAGGAAGCTCTGCTTTTTACAATATTTTGTTTCTCAAATGTTTAAATTTCTAAGTTGCAGTTAGATTGACAGTTGAGAAAGAAAAATCTTCCACACTATATTATATCTTTTCTGTGGTACCTCACACCTATTCAGCCAACCACTTTCTCTTCATTTTTCCAAACATCACTCATGCAGAGGCCAGCTGTCAAACACATGCAGTAGTTGCGACCTATGTAATGTTTTTTCCTTGTTTTTTTGTGGAGTGTAAAAAGTTCCGTATCATAAAGCCTTGTCCACTCTTCACTGCTACACCTTTTTAGGTGGTGTCAGGTTAAAATGGTTCTATGCCATTTAATAGTTCTGTAGTTGACCCCAGCCATATTTCACATGTATTTTTATGTCTGCTTTCCACCATTATGTATTTTAAATTAAGCTGTCACAGTTTCTGAAGAAAACAGCAGGTCTTTGCAGTGCAGTGTGCTCTACAGTAAAGCACAGTACCTGGTTTTATGCATGTTTCCTTCTTCAGGTTCGTAGTGGGCTCCAACAGGGTGATCTTTATGCTGCGGGATGGGAGTTTGGCCTGGGAGGTCAAGGACTTCCTTGTGGCCCAGGAACGCTGCTTGGATGTTACTGTGGAGGGCCAGGTGTTTCCAGGGAAAGCTGTGAAGAAGGATGATGCTAAACACAAACAGCAGAATGAAGTCAACACCAAGAGTAAGAGCAAGAAAAACACAGAGAGCAAGAAGCCTGACATGGAGGGAAACAGAGCCAGCCTCAAACAGGAGCTGTGATGGAACTCTACAGAATGGGAGATTGGTGGTCTAGTTTTTCCTGGTCTCAGACGTGCTGCTTCTCACGGCTGTGTGTGCTGCGGCACCGCAGGAAGATGCAGTGGTTTGAAGTCAGTGGTATGAATGAACTAATAAATCCTGTTAGGTACATTCAGCTTTGACCACTCAGCTGGAATCATTATGCAGTGATTTATTGTCTTTTCCCCTCCTCCCCCTCACTGGATCATGGTGCAATGACAAGCACACTATTAAAATCGTCAGTCTTTGTCTGATTGCAGACAAACTCTTTAAAATCAGTTGTAATCTAATGCTGTCTAAATTTTTGTTCAATTATCACCGGATGAAAACGAACACATGCTAATGTTGTTTGAAAGATACTCACAGTAAGCATTACTAAACTGTTGTTTTTTGTGCCAAGAGCCATGTTTAGTACAGATCTTTTTTCCTGGTACAGAAATGGAGTCATTCATCGGACCTGTCAGTCCCAGTCTCTTATTCATTGTTCATGTACAGCAGTACTTCAATATTTTATACAAATGTAGCACCTAAAAGTTTTGCTTGATTTTTCACTGAATATGAAAATAAAAATTTTTGATATAATCATTGATTCATTCATTACTGCCGTTTGAATCACATGTCCTCCAAACTCCAGTTTGTCACTCTGCAGGTCTTTAGTGCTAGTGCAGGCTGACACACTGAGTGCTATGTAGTCAGCTGCATACATCATCATACTTAATACTGCATACTTAAATAAAGAAGTGTTTGTATCATATGAATTACAGCAGTTGGCCTGAACCCTGACTTGAAGTATAAACCCACCATTAAATATACAGGATTGTAGTTGGAGCACTGACTAACAGCAGGGAGAGGTGCATTTTCTGTGTATATCTGAGAACAGTTAGTATCTCCATTCAACTTCCTGTGATGGGGCTGCACTGTAGCTCAGTAGTTAGCACAGTCACCTCACACCTAGATCCCTGGTTGGTATCCTGGCCCGGGCCTGGGATCTTTCTTTGTGGAGTTTGCATGTTCTCTCTGTCCAGGTGAACCTGCCTTCACCCTGAGTCAGCTGGGATAGACCCCAGCCCTCCCATGACCCTACAGAGGATTAAGCAGTGTAAGTATTGTTATTAAGTAGTGTTAAGTGTATAGATTTGTACCACATTAGAGGGCTCATGTTTGTCTTAGCTGACATTGGGTGACTAATGTTTTTTATTTTATAGTAATATGAAAGACATTTGAGAAAGACAGCAATTCTTCCTATTTCCAGTAATGTCCACCTCTCGATGACCCTCCTCTCTTCCCTCTGTCCATTTTTTTTGGGGAAAAAAAGGTTTACACAGAAGAATTATTATTGTATAAATGCTATTTAGCCACTCAGCATTGCTCATGGAAAGGTGCAGACAGTCTAGGGATCATGTACTTGGTATAAACCACATGCATGTGTAAAAAGATAAATTACTCAGATTTCTTAAATTAACCTTCCATGTATTTTCAAATAGCCAAGTAAGCCACATCTGTGGTGTTAAAATCTCCTGTCAAAACCTTCTGAGATTCACCACCTTATCGTAGCCTACTCTTTTATTACTTGCGTTGTTTTTTCCTGATCTGTATTTTTTTTCTCTATCATTCCCTATTCATGTCATGGTTTATGTGTGTACAATTTATCTGCTCGTCCAATGAAAAAGGGCCCTGGTTGTGTTGAGTGATAACTGACCTTCACCTGCTGCTAAGAATCTAAAGAACACTGGAAATGACGCTTTGACAAAGGTTTGTGACTCAAACAATGGCATGTCAGTATCTTTAAGAAGACGCACAGTTGATGGAGGTTGTTATTTCTAAGCAGATACACAATGACATCCAGACGGTTGATCGTTAATCGTTCTTTATTTCTGTACAAAAATCCTTTGAAGAAATTTAAAGTCATGGAGTTTTATCACTTTACAAGCCCAAGCCACATATACAACACATTCATTTGATGTACAGTTAGAGTAAACCGACTATACCAAGAGTCCTATACATGTATGCAGTGTCTGATACAAATCTTTTAAAATGGATCTATAATGGGTTCTGTTTATTGCATACAGTACACATACAGAACAGGTATAACATGACAACTTAAAGCATGTCCCTTGTAGATTTGGATCAACTGTGTCTGTACAATAAATAAGTATAAAATATATCTTTGTGGATTTTTAAAAACACATTAAACATACAAAACACTAAATTACTGCTACAACCTCCGAAAAAAGACCAGCTATTTCGGCAAGGGAGGGGTGAGGGGGCATCCTTTTTCTTACTGATTGCAACACAGATTTCTCCATTATTTTAAAATGGGGAAATTGCACATTTATAGACTCCTTGATTAAACATTTAGTGGACAATTTGAGTTAATCTTTTATATAGTCATGGGCATCTTGCTGGTCCATTCCAAAACACAGACAGATGGATCACAAACACAGATACAAAAAAAAAAAAAAAAAGAACCAAACATGGCAGGAGAACATCACAATATCAAGTGAGCAAGTGCTCGGAATGAAACAAAACAAGTTAACCACTGGTCTGATGCAAAACAAAGATGTTTCTGTTGGTTTTTTTGTGTTTTTTTTCTTGTTCTTGTTCTACTATTTTCTGTCTTTAAACACTTTAGTCAAACAAAGGAGGATAGTAAAATCACTCAACTTCTACACCCACATTTCACAGACACCTGCATGGCAAAGACGTTCAGCGATGCATGTACGTTACAGATGCGTTTGAATAACTGGCTCACACTTTCTGATTTTTTTCTCTCTTTGTCGAATTAGCCATGGCCTTTGAATCACAAACTGCCTAGCAACCATGGTTGACATCAACGAGGTCTGCTGAAGAATAGGCCAGTAGTTTTTAATGTAGAAATATTCAATGACAATGCTAGAAATAAAGACTTTTAGAAATAACTGCAAAATGTAAAAGTCTATTTGTGCAGGGTTTTATTTTTTCAAATGTACGGTAATGTGAGACAGTAAACTGGCCAACCTCTAACCTCCAAGCCTCCTATGAATCACACTCATACACTTACACGATACACTTTTATACAACTCTTCCTAACAGCGACGTCTCTTTATTTCCAGTGTTCCAGGCCAGTGCAGAAAGTAGTATGAAAAATCTAAACACGTGAAACCTGTTAATCTGTAAAACAAATGTTTCTACAGTAGTCCAGATTGGACAAACCAAAACTGCCTCTAGAGAAGGTCTTTCCTTTTTTACATTGTTTTTACATATCCTACACACTAGTCCTTTAAAACCTGGTTGTTTTGATAAAACTTTCTTTACCATGTCTATCCATAAATTCTGACACCTCCAGGCACTGATATGTAAAAGGCCTAATAAACAACAAAATAATATTTTGCAGGTAAAACAGAATTGTCAAAGCCACAAAAACATCTGGTAGTTTGTAGGTCTTGTGCATCTGTGTGGTTGTTCTGTGTATCTCTGTGGACATTTTGCATCCGTTTGCAGTCTTTTTACTCAGCACCCTGTGGTTCCTTTGCTTCTGCCCTCTTAGTGCTCCTTTAATTAGCTTTCTTACAAGAAATGTTGTAGTAGCTTATATTGTCAAACTTATAATAATAACAAAGTGTCTTCATGCTACATTAAGCACTCCCTGACCCCTTGGAGCCCTGGGCCTGCACCTGGTACACTTGTTCACTAATTAATCCATGGCCATGATGTTCCACTTTTAATAGAAGGTAGAACAGTTTTAATCTGTCATTAGTTGCCAGGCATGTACATTGAGGCACTACTGACTCAGATGCATTGGTATTAAATATTTTGCAGATTTATTTTCAACTTAATATGGGTGGCATCCTGTTTTCTTAACAATATTTTCTGCTTGTACAAAATATTTGCATATGAATGCAATTGGTAGGAGGTTGGTTCGATAAAATCTGTGAAACACTTCGCTATTGGAGAGACAATCTACTTTCACTGAGATGATGTACAGACCCAGAACTGGTTTGCCTGCCGCCCAGCTCGCACATGATAGTAAATCCAATGCTGTCTTATCAAGCTGAGATAAACCACACCAAATATCTTTCCTCTCTGATCTGCCTCCAGGAGGATTTCCTATTTTCCCTTTTCCAGATGACGTTGCCTCATCTGTAATTGGCTGTTACTGTTACTGGTCAGGACAAACTCAGAACATGCTCAAACTAGCAAAGAAAAAAAAAAAGCTTCTCTGAATTGAGAATCTAAAAATGCCCAAAAGGTCAAATTTGGAGGAGCAGCTTCCAGCTTTTCCAAATGGTCACTATTCCGGCTGTCCTGGACTGAGCACCTATATCCTCAGCTCTTACATGTCATCCTTCTGATATACTGCACCTGGAATTCTTGAGAGAAGAACCTACTGGTAATTTATGTGCTTTAAACTGGTGATTCAGCTGCATTATTGCCATTAAGGCTCAGAGGGAACCAGTCTGCTTCAAGCAAAGTGCGTGTTGGATAATTGAAAGCCATCTGAAACAGCACTGATAACTTCTTGCTCTAATATCATGCTAGATAATAGTTACAGCCAATTATGTGAAAGTGAGAATGTAGCTTGCATTTAAACTCCATCTGTCAACCTTTCCTTTTTCATTTTTCACAAACTATTTCCATTCTTGACAAACAAATCATGTACAAGAGAAATGCCAGTACTGCCTTTTCTTTTTACTGTCTCACTGTCTAACAGCAAAATCTAACAGGATCATCTGTGAAGCCAGTAAAGCTTCAGAGTTCTTCCGTCACTTTTTGTGTGTACTAAGAGCTCAAGATCATTCTTTCAAGGAGAGACTGACTGAAAGAGTGAGCCATTATCCCCATTTGCATGAATATTACAGCTTGCTCTTCGCGCTAACAGCAGATCTTTTCATTGTTAAGTTTATCTTTACACATGATATATGGTTCATTCAGAGGATAGCACAACCTTAACAGCAGCATCTTACAGCACTGTCCAACAGTGTCATCTAACAGTGACATCAGAAGGTATCAGAGTTTTTGCTGTAGATGAGCTGGAGTAAACCGATAGAGAAGTCTGACAGGACAGACTACATACAAAACGTTAAAGGTTGAAGACGGGTTTCTAAGTGAAAACTCTACAATGTATAGCTGGAAAAGAGTCAATTAAGAGTTGACTTTAGTAAACAGGCCAGTGTTAATGTTAACACGACAGCCAGTCAGGTCCATGTCAGCTGGTGCACAGTTTTTTACAGCACAGCAGTAATGGTGAGCAAATCCAATAGTTAGTTTAGCCAATAAGCTACATAGACATAACAATGGGATCAGCAATGCAATAACAGTGTTCTGTCACAAACAAAATCATTATTAAGCATGTCTATCAGTCTATCTTTATCAATGATGGGTGTAGAGACAGCCACATTTGTACAAACACTGTTGACTGTTCTGAGCCAACGAGCTGAGGTTTCACTGAAGGGTAGAGTCTTACATGGACACAGCTCATCGTGGGCAGTGCTGGCTCTGGGAGAGGGTTTTCACCTTTTCAGCATACAAAATCACATCATTCTTTCTCACCACCAAACCTTGACTAAACACCACTTGATCCTGGACCAATGGCTTGGAGCAACTGACTCTGCAGTGCTGGCAGTGTGCATGTATGTGTGAGTTTGTCTGTGCTATTAGTATTCTTTTAGGGGTATGTGTTTCAGTATCTGGGGGTTACATAGTCACTTGGCTGTTTTCCCCACTCTTCTTGTCACTCATAGTTTCATCTTGTGGACCACAGGGACAGGCAAGACCTGATGGATCTTGGCTCGGTTGCTGTCCACCTCCATATGGATCCAGTCAGGTTGGAAGGAGCCCTTGAAGCCCACAAATGCCAGCTTATCTGCAGAGAAGCCAAATGACATTAAAGTAAGAGAAGTCCTCCGGGCACTCGGGTGTTTGTCAGTACTGCTTCTGTTACGTTGTATAACATCATATATGTATGTGGTAGCCTGTGTCACAGTTTTACAAATTACATTTTCATTTTCATCCTAATGTAGAGTCATTTTTTGATTTCAGTCTATCACCAGTTTCTTGTTTTTCATTCTATTACTGTTGATAGATGTATACTTGCATTCAAGTAATTAATAAAGAGATAAGGCAGCCATGTTGGCTGTTTTTAAAGTTGTTGACATGCCATTATTTACATTTTTTTCATGTCCCAATCACAAACATTTTAGATGGATGACCATTAACTCATTTTACATTAAAGAACTACTCATGTTCTTAGTTGCAAATAAATCACTCCGATAATGATAATTTCAAACCTTGTTAGCTGACAATGATACATGTAACAGACTAAAGTCTCGAGAGTTTTCACTGTGAAATCTTTAATTCAAAGTAAAATTTCCAAAAAGGATGAGGAGACAATACCATCATACCCCTTTTAGTACATTTCTCTCCTTGATGCAGACATTGTTAGTTACCTTTTAATTTGATGCTCTTTTCTGCTCCAAGTCTCTCCAGAACTTTGGTCCAGGATCCTCTGGTAATCAGACGGCCCTTAGACGTCACGAGGACAATGGAACTAATGACAGAGTGAGAAGCAGCCAACCATTTTAATGTTCACATTGAGCTGAAACTAGATGTATGTGTATTTTAAGCACCATCGTGTGTATTTTTTAAATTTTTTTACTAGACTCAAATCACACTATTCTGTAGCTATTGTGTGATTTGAGTAATTTGAAATGATTGGGAACTCATTTGGTGGAATGTCATTCTATAAAATAATTTGGAACGCTGAATACATCCAAAAAGTAAAACAATGTGTCACACAATGAATTAAGCTATGTGGTGAAGCAAACCGTTAAAGAATTGTTCTTACCCGTTTCTCAGTCCACTGACATAGTTGTCTATCTGTGCAGGGACTCCCTGTAGGATAGAATTCCTGAAACCTTTGCTCTCCACCACTTTTCCATCATGGCCATCAATTACTGTCAGTTGCACCCCATCTTCTAGTTGGTATAGCTTCCTGCCGTTCACCTGTCACAACAGAGGCGGCCAATCACAAAACAGCTCTGGGATCTACTGTAGGGCACCCCTGAGGAGGGCAAATAGTTGTAGCAGTACTTTAAGGTCAAAATGTGACAAATATCTTCACTTCTTTGTGACGTTTGTAACTATGAATATAAAGGAAAGGACCTTCTATAGCCTTAGAACGACAAAACTAAACCCTGTAAAAATAACCACAAACATGGAAGGAACTATTGCACAGAAACACGAAGCGTGAGTGGAACAGCGCTACCTTTATTCTGGTCCAAGCATGAACTAATTCATCTATTTAATTTTCAGGCTTGTTGAGACAATTTTGAGGAAATGATGATGTTGATGTAGATTTCTGATACAACTATAATTAAGTGGCCTTCACTGTGGAATGTCAGCTAGACAGTTAGTTGTATTCAGGATATATAAATGAACAGTGTTGAAACACACAATAAAGCTAAAAGATTATGACCAATCGAAGAAAAAGTGAATAATGCTGTTTTTTAACTGTTAGCCATGTCAAGATTTGGTTTATATTAGACAGTAGGTGACCAGTCGTAGTAAGTGTTGGATACAATAAAAGTGAACCAGCAGTGACATCGAGTAACCTGTAGCTACTGACAAATGTCTGAGGAGGGACAAGACCACGACCCTGGTTGTTGAGCAGCTAAGGCTTAAAGGTCAGAGCTGAAAAAACGTATCGTAGTGTTCAGTCTCATCAGTGTGCAGGTACATGTCAAAGGTATAGAAGTGAAACCTGTAACTTGTCTCTAAATGAGCCTTTCTAGGGGAATGTTGATGAAAATATGTACTTTTCCATACTGCGTCTGAGACAGTGGGTACCTCAGTGAATGCAAAGTCCTCCTTGATGTGGAAGAAGCGAGTGTTGTAGGACTCCAGTTTGACCTCTAGAAAGTTCTCTGGTGAGTGCTGGGAGGAAACAACCACACAACAGAGCTGGAATGAATATACCACATCAGACATTTCGCAGAGACAATTAAAGCAAGTTTTGACTCACCACAGTTACAGAGCTAAGCAAATTATTTAAAATTATCTAAACTGCTGAAGTCTAATAACATATTTCTAAGGACTGCAATGGGAAAATTAACATTCAGCAGGAGGAAAAGGAAAGAAAAGAACACCAAGAGAAATAGGATCTAAATAAGGATACAGATGATGGAGCATTATTATGCTGAAATGTGTTTCCTGAAAATATGGTACAACTTTAGAATGACATGCCAGAGGAGTCTGGTAGTTTTTCCTAGTGAATTCGTTTAAGTTCCTCCTAAAGGCACATACACAGATCAGGGACAACATTAAAACAAATGATACGTGAAGTTAATAATAATGCTTATCTCATTTCACCTGTCAAGGCAGTGGAAGTCTAAAGGCAGTGAGTGAACAATCAGCCATCAAAGTTGATGTGTTGGAAACAGAAAAAAATGGTAGCTTATGGATCTGAGTGACTTTGAAAAGGGCCATATTGTGATGGCTTGATGACTAGATCAGAACATCTCCACAACAGCAGGTGTTGTTGGGTGTTTCCAGTATGCTGTAGTTAGTAGCAACTGAAAGTGGTTCAAGAAAGAGTAATCAGTGAAACAGCGACACAGCCATGTGTGACCAAGGCTCACTGATGAATGTGGGGAGAGAAGGCTGGACCATGTGAGCTGATCCTTCAGAAGAGCAACTGAAGCACAAACTGCTGAAAACTCTGATGCTGCTGTGATAGAAAGGTGTCAGAACACACAGTGCGCTGCAATTTGCTGTGCACGGGGCAGTGTAGCTGCAGACCAGTCAGAGTGCCCACACTGACCCCCATCCACTGCCGAAACTGTCTACCATGGGCACGTAAGCGTCAGAACTAGACGACACAGAACATTTTCTTTTACTCCACAAACAGCCAGGTGTGTGGGCATTGATTAACTGAGAAAAAGATGAGAAAAGGATGCACTATGTAGAAAGAAGGTGAGCAAGCAGAGGCAATGTGATGCTCTGGGTAATGTTCTGATGGGAAAGCCTGCATTCATGTGGTTTCATGTTACTTTGATGCATACCACCCACCTAAACAGGCGGTACACAATGGGCACCTTTTCTTGGCAACTGTATTCACTGATTGCAGAGGATTTTTTCTGCAAGATAATCCACCCTGCTACACTGCAAACATTCTTCAGGAATGGTTTGAAGAGAATGACAAATACTTCAAGGTGTCGTTCTGTCAAATTTTCAGCTTTCAGTGGGATGTGCTAAAAAAAACAAGATCAATCTATGGAGGCCCCACCTCCGAACTACCAGGATGGATGCTACTGCTCATGTCCTGCTACCTGATAACCTAAGACACTTTGCAAGGTCTGTGGACTTGAGCCCTTGTTGGGTCAGAGTTGCCTTGGTGGCAAGAGAGGGACCTACACAATATTAGGCAGGTGGTTTTAATGCTATGGCTGATCAGTGTATATTAAAAACAGTAAAGAAGTAATAGTGAAACATGAGGGTCTGGTAAAGTCAGAGTTTAATGAGTAAGTCCATACCCTGTGTGTTCAAACCACTCCCTACTTCTCAAGGCACTGATCACTACGCTGTAAACAGGATTATGGGCATTGATTCTAACAAGGCTAGGACACTCTTTACAAGACTAAAAGTTATCCAACATCGATTTCTCAGTTCAAGACTGAGCATCACTGTTCCCATTTGGAATGATATTTACTGGTGAGTGAAAGTGAATATTGATAACAAGAAATGTTCAGCAGAAAGGGTTTAAAACTGATTCATCAAGATGGTCTCATCAAGATATTGAGTTATGTATCCCTGCCCCAGGGCCACATAACACAATAGTTTTCCATGTATTTCCTGGCATGATTATTTTCTCTGCTTCAGGATATTTAAATGTCATTTCAGATATCATCAATATGACATCAGGGATTTTCCTGAAGGGCAGCGGGCAGGGGCTTGGTACTCTATTGTCAGTATGCTCACACAAACGCCACTTGGAATGCATGATCAGTTCACTACTAACTGAATTTGGGAGTTCAAGTTTGAGGTAGACGACTCCTCTGACCTATAAGGAGTATTTATTTCTTTGTATGTTCATGCAATTCTACAGGCATGAACAATGTCAATCCCAATAGAAAATAGTGGCTGGTTGGAAACCTCAATTTATTGCTCACCCGATTAGACATCTTTCTGGGCATGGGTACATCCACAACAGGCAGCTCAGCATGTTTGGGGTAGGCTTGGGCCATGCAGTTGCTGGGCAGACTGCCTTTTGGAATGATGGCTGTTATCTTCACCCTCTCACAACCCTTGACGGAGCAGAAGGAAAACTGCTCCTTGTCGTTATGAGCCTTTACCTTCAGGAAGAGCAGGCTGCAATGCACACAAAATATGTCATCATATGCTGATATTAGGTAACCTCAGAAAAAAATGTACATTGTGACATTTATCTTAGCTAACATGTAAAATGATTTAAAATTAGAATATACAGGACAAATTATTTTCCTGATTTGATGAGCATGCTGTAGACCTTGACTAAAGCTATTACTTTAATGAGAACAACCTTAATATACTTGTGATAAAATTATTATAAGTGATACTACCCTATGGTATCGACAACAAAACTACAGCCAACGTTGTAGTAAAACCAAATGTATCTGACCCAGTGTCTTCCTCCCAGTAGTAGTATCCTCTGGCCAGGTGTGAGTGGTTGATCTTTTCCCTCTGAGCCGTCCTCAAGAAGACGCCGGTCTTGCGGGTCTGTTTGGTCAGGCGGTTGTGGATGTCTGAGATGATGGTGAAGGCAGTGCCTTGTGGGTAGCAGAGGCCCACATTGATCCAGTCATTTCTGAAACACAGTGAACAAAGTAATGTACATACAGTACTGATTTAATCTCAAAGCAAAACCTGTTTTCACATCCAAAATAAATAAAACCAGCACACACGATCATTTCTCTTTGTTTTTGTGATCACAAGGGAAAGTAATTTGTTATTATTCTTATTTTTATCAGTGTAATAAACTAATAATTTTTAAGCCATTTTTATATATATATATATATATAAAGGTTAGGGTTAAAAATATATATAATGAACTGAATAAATTTGTGGTCTTTAATGTTGGACAAAAGAATAATCAATTAACAGTAGAAAAATCAAAACAAACAAACAAACAAACAAACAAAAAAGTCTAACCAAGTGATACTTCTACTACATGTATTTACCTTAAATGTATTTATGTGTGTACTGTCAGGCTTGAGAAGGAATTATAGAAATTCTGATTTTCTACAGTGAATTAGTGACACTGGGAGATATTGCTAAAGTTTATAACAAAATATATTTATGTAAAGGGATAACAGCTTAATTTATAAGAGTAAAAAGTAAATCTATGTACACTAGCTTTAGTGTGTGCTGCAGTGAAGTCATAAGGCAGGGATGCCCTTTGCTCCTTGTATTCCCAGCCCTGCCCTCCATGGGGCCCTCAGCTAGGGGCCCTCCTATCTGACCCATGAACCAAGTAAACCATTTGCTCAAGAGGCTGATGGCAGTAACACACACACACACACACACATACACACACATATATATTCCTATGTAAGCAAAACCCATAGAACTTGAGCTTGGCATCCAGAATAATATTGCTGAATTATGATTGCGTACTGTAAAATAATGTAATAAAATATTTTTTAAAAATGTTTAAATTGTAATGTTTTGTTGTTGCTTTCAACTCCATCCACCAGAAGAAGTTCTAAATCACAGCCAGTTTGTTGTAATTAAATGTAATCTTGAACTTCCAAATACTCCAATATACTGCATACTGCAGTTAAAAGACATGAAATCAAGTAAGTAGTGAGCTATTATGCATTTTCTGCTTGATAAAGCATGTTAAATCTCAAATTACACATGACCAGTGTTGGACTGCACTTCACTAAATGATGTACGAGCAATCAAATATGACCTGCACAGTCTTTAATTCACACTCTACGTGGCTGACTATCAGTCCGCTGTGTGAAGTCTACATACTGCACGTTTTATGCATTTTTAGTGGGAACCTTCTAAAATATTTTGGTTAGCTTGGTGATTGCTTTGGTTAAATATTTTGGCACTCACTTTATAAAGCCACGAAAACTGTCTATCAATGGAATCCATGGTGTTCACATTTTGGTTTATAGAAAAGTACTGGGTAATTGCAGCTTTAAATTAAAAAAATAATACTTTAAAACAAGATTAAGGTGGAATTAAAATGAATTGAAGTGAAATCTAAGATATAAAACGTCTTGTATAAGACCAAAACTTTAAGGACAGTGGAGAGCAGCTACATTTTATGATACCAAGCTGAACACAGGAAGTGCATTAAACATAATCAGGTGATTTATTATGTTTTATCATATTTATCATATTTTTTGAAATCAAGTCAAAAATAAACAAGTCATTTTAGGCCTCTCTGCTGTATGCTGTGTATCATTGTGACCTGTAGATGGGGCCATTGGTGTATGGACAATCAATGAAAATATTTTCTCCCAATAGCATCTTTGTTGTGTTTGTCAGAGTAGACTCAGGCCATGGGGATTATTTGGCGTGCTTGAAATGACAACCAGTCTTTATGCAATTTAAATAGCTCAAGGCCACATTCTAAAAACCATCTGAAGGGAGGAGGCCAACGCACAAAGTGAGGCTCTCTCTTTCTGTTGTGAGCTGTTGTGAGCAGACACTGAACAAACACTTTTCATTTCAGACAAACTGATTTCTTTTGTGCATATTGATCCCATTATCTTTTTTATTAAAAATAGGAAACACAAAATCTAACCATCTTCTACAAATTCTTGCCCACCTTACAAGAGTATGTCTACAATATTGTTGGATTCACGGGGGACAGTAAAAGAAAATGAATTGAAATTGAAGCAGCACAACCATCCATCCATCCATCCATTATCTATACACCGCTTAATCCTCACGAGGGTCGAGGGGGGCTGGAGCCTATCCCAGCTGACTGAGGGCGAAGGCAGGAGACACCCTTGACAGGTCACCAGTCTATCACAGGGCTACACTTAGAGACAGACAACCAAGCACACTCACATTCACACCTACGGACAATTTAGAATCACCAATTAACCTCAACATGTTTTTGGACTGTGGGAGGAAGCCGGAGAACCCGGAGAGAACCCATGCTGCACGGGGAGAACATACAAACTCCACACAGAAAGATCCCGGTGCTCCCACCGCGAACCAGCGACTTTCTAGCTGTGAGGCAACAATGCTACCAATGCAGCAGAACCAGATTTTATATTTTTTTCATTCTTTTATGCCATTTATTGTTTCTGCATGCCTTTTGTACCTGACAACTCCATCACTCTCAATGGAATATGATCACTGACACTTCAATTGAAAATTCAAGTGTGCTGGTGGTAGGGACTAACTCTCCTGAAGCATCTCTCTCAGCTAGAGATGTGGAGTGGGTTATAGTGGGAAATCCCCAACCATTGCTGTCTAAAGTTCCACTAATTTATCAGTCTTGTCACATTTCCCTCTGGAACCACAAAATGCTTGTTTAGCCTAAGAAATAGTTCAGCAAACAGGATTATGTGATGTGTAATGTGTCTGCTGCTCAAAGGTGGGCAAAAAACTCCCATCTATGACCTACTGCTGTCGAGGCTCACTGTGTTTACCAAAACACAAAAACAAAAAACCTGAACAAAAAACTCAATTAATCAGAATTATGTTTTGACCATGACTTAGTATCTCGTAATTACAGGAACAGATTGCACTATTTTACAGGGATTTTCAAATGGGAAGGTATGAGCAGAAGGAGAAGGAACTACATGAGATGAAAGGAACAAGTGCATGTTTGTAAATGTTCAACATGTTAGTTTTATCGTCAAACATCTGAATCATACCTATATCTGAACACACACACATCACATGTCTATCTTTTTAATCATTGTTTTATAATTTCCACAGATTATATAAAGAATGGAGTGGAGCAGTTGATAGTTATTCTTCATTTTCCCACATGTGGTCCAATAAAAACATAAAAACTAAATATGTGTTGTGGCGCACTTTGGATTATTAACATTAAATGTAACAAAATACATTACTTAGTGACATTAATATCACCTACTTTGTCAAACCTAGGAGGATGTGAAATCTCATTAAGACAGGCAGCATAGGCAGGCCTGGATTGATAAAGATGAATGATAACCACCTTCATCTGTTTTTGTAACAAACTGAGATTAGAATCTCAACATGATGCGATAACGTTCTAGTAAATATGAGACATGATTACAAATATACTGAAAATCAAATCACAGGATCTGTCAGAAAAATAGCATTTCCCTAAATTGTTCAGTCCTATTGGATTGTCAGCTTGATCCCCTGAGTTAACGAGTTCACTTCATGCATGGCTGCCTGCATTCGATGATGCTCCGGTTCTCCTCCAGATATTTAAAGAACCAGGCTTGTAAATAAGTCAAGTGCTGGTCTGAAGTGACTAGACGCTTCCTACAGGTTCTAAAAGGTGAATTTGTTTCTCTTAATAATAATAATGATCACTTAGATATTTGATAAACAACAGTGGCAGCAGGACACTTCATATATATTCATTTCCATTCCATTCTGTTCGTCATTGTCAATAAAGAAATGCCAGTTTGGTGAAATTTGGCAAATTTCCATTCTCCTGTTGATGTTAATTAATGAACGCTGTCCATTCTAATGGTCTGGTCAACGATCACCGCTGTATGCATGCTTTGTGTAACAGAGGTGATTCTTACAAACATGTGCTGTCACAAGTACAGCTCACATGTCCACTGACCTGTTGAAGTTGATGAGCCAGATTGTGACCTCAGCAGGTGCCGCCTGGTCCCAGTGGATGGTGTAGCCTTTGGCCAGAGTTATGACTGGCTGGAACTGCTGGTAGTGTTTCCTCTTCCCCAGGGCACCCTCCAGTTCCAAGGGCTGATCAGGATACTCATCCCTCACTATGAGCATGTTCAAGTTGGCAGGATTGCGCGTCTGGACGTAGATCTGAGGAAAATATGTTTATAGAAGGAGAAGAAGAAAAAATATTTGTCAGTATCTATATATTTCATATATTTCGTCTTATTTAATCTGACATGAATAGTCCCTGGACTGGCTTTACATGATACACGCAGAGATCAAAACTGGTCAGTCCAGTGTAGGTCAACTCCGGCTCATTCTCTCTTCAGAGTCTCTGAGGGACGCCCAACCTTACTACATCCATTTCAAACAATGTATATATTTTTACTATTCTCTGTCCCCATAACTCCAGCAATCTCTAAAACACATTTTTATTTTTCTGATCAATTGCAGCTGTAGAGAAATTGAATGTACCAGACTGTAAACATGAATTTCCCTCTCTCTCTAAAGTTAAAGCCTTGTCAGGGACACAGCAATGTCAGCTAGTCAGCACTGAGGCTTGAATCCTCAGCCTTCTGATCAGTAGTTCAGTTTGACCATTTCCAATTTTGCCATTGTCAATGTTTGTGTATATCTTAATATCATATAATGCAAATTAATTTCCTTTAAATGTAATCATTAAAAGAATTCAAGCTGGGATAACCAACACACAACCAACTAATGCCAAGCAGCTGTAGCATGCGTTGTGTTTGTTAGGGCTGACCTACCTGTGCATAGTGACCGCTGCAGATAGCAGCCTTCCAGTCAGGCACGTCAATGCAGTCAGGGTGACGGAGCAGCCAATTGTCCTCTTTGACCAGGTAGGCTCCGGGATATTCACTGACTGAGCCGTCGATATCGTGAAAGATGGTAGTCTTGTCCCCATCCATCTGCATTTTATTGAACCAAGGGCCCGGCTCACCAAAAAACACCCGTGATGTGATCTACAGCAGAATTTGAAAATGATGATGAAAATAAAAGCAATTTCACACACAAAATAAAGCATAGTAGATGTATTTGATATAAAAGTATATATAGTGGAATCCATTATCCAGGTGATTATGTTACAGCAACTGTACAAGATTTTTAAAAATGCAGATCTTGGTGAAATCTTCAACACTGACATAAATATTTTCATTTGTACCCTGCTTAAAATTCACAACAAACAGGCTTAAGATTTAAATCACATTTTTTCCAGAACATGTACATAATAAACTTGTACAAATACAATTTTCAGTTTGATTTTCTATAACAGCAACATCTGTGTTCCACCAACATCCTCCTTCTCCTGTATTTCACATGCTGACTTACAGGTACATGATCAAAAGTGATGTCAGTGACGTTATTGTTTGGGCAGCTCTGCCATGAGTTGTTGAGCCGGAAGCCGAAGGCACTGGTGTGCCGCCCGTCCAGTGCTGTGTATTTCCGAAATGTACAGTTCTGCACATTGATTGGACCATCATAAATCTGCATGCCCCGGATAGGAAAATCGCTGCAGAGAAACAGAGATCAAAAACACACCAGCTCATTAGCAATATACACACAGTGCTCAGTAGGAAAGGAAAAAGTAGTGCAATGCTGAAATAATTCAGGGTGAAGTGAGTTGAGGTTTGGGTAGTGGATAGATGTTTAATTGGGTATCTTGGGTTCAAGTCCTGTGTCATACTATTCGTATATATATACACACACACACACACACACACACACTATCGGCCATAAAGTTGGAATAAAATATTTTATTTTATCTTGTCATGAAATGATTGTGACAATGGGATTTGTTCTTGATAGATAAAGTGTATATCTTCTCAAAACTTCATTGATATCACAAAATACATATCACAATAAAAATTAACCCACAATTAACTTTTGCAAACTGTCAGTTCAGGCTTAAGCTAAACTGAAGGTATTGAACAATAGAATTAAAAGTTTTGTTTCAATTTTTCAACCTTGGTTCCTTTAACAGGAAACACATATTTGAGGGGCTTTCATGCATAAGAATGTCCAATATTACTCTTTTAAATGTCACTCAGTCACTGATATTGAGTATGGCCACCCCTGACATGGATCAATGCATTAAGACATCGTAGCATACTGTCCACAAGCTTATTGATGGTGTAAATGGGCAGGACGTCCCACTCTTCAGTCAGATCCTGAAGTCAGAATTGGTTTCACCTGGTAACTGGGACTCAGTATGTAATCATTGGTTACTGGTCAGAAGTGATTACTGATGTGTATAATGAGAAATAAAAAGAGGAATGTGTCTGAAAACAAAAATTATTCCAACTTTATGGGCAACAGTGTATATAGGTTTGGGTTGCAAAACAAAAACAATTATTAAAAAGAGCCAAAAATGCTCTGCAGAACTGCTGGATACTGCAGAGCTGGTGACAGTTTGACGTTTTTCATGTTACACTCAGTCAGTGGGTTAACTACTAATATAAAAGGCTATCATACTTTCCACTTACATGCCACGTGGCAGAGTCCTGCCGCTAGGATCAGAACCCCCAGGGCCCCAAATCCTGTTGTCTGGGAGGAGCATCCCATGATTGTCACTTTCACCCACAAACAGCGAGTTTTTCACCTCCTGACGCGAGCCGTCATCATCTGGAAACGTCCCTCCACTGCACACACAGACAGGGAGGGTTAGATAGTACACATACAACTGTTTCATTGATCACAGAGACAGAATTGCTTTTATTATCATTATTCACTATCTAACAAGAATTTGTTTTTGTGCTAGTTTGGTTTTATGTTCTTTCCACTTATCAAGAAACATCAGTAGTTATAATATAAAAATACATGAAACAATATATTAGAAAAAACAATAAATACGTG